CAGAAGAAGATGAAATGACTATACTTGAATGAATGTAAATTTTTATGTTTGAATATATGAATAAATGTAAATTGCTGTGCATGAAAATTATGACATTTCCTGAAAATAAACCCTAATGCATCTTTTGTGGCAAAAATTAATATAAGACCCAGTCATATTTTTGGAGAAAATGCTATTTGTATTTTAATCCTTTGTTATAGGTGTTATTTTTGGGAAAGGATATCAATTATCATTTCCTTTTGTATGTGAAATAAATGAAAAATAAATATACAGTACTTGATTAAGGGCTGTTCAGAAATGATGTCTACACTGGGAGGGAGGGAGTTATGACAAGTCAGACAAAGTTGGATAGGGAAAGGAGAGGTTGAACTTCAGTGGATGTTTGTTTTATTGTATTAAATTTTATACAATATGCATTTTGTTATTTATATAGTGATAAAGGTTTTGTGGGGATTTGTGTTTTGTTGGACATCCGAAGAGGGGAGAGATTGTGGAAATTTGGACAAACTGGGACAGTGGAGGGAAAGGAAGTAAAAATTTGAAGAAAAATGCAGACATAATTTATGGACAACATCTTAGATAAGGGCCACAGATAAAATTATAAATTATATTTAATCCACATCAAAAATGAACTACAGTAGAGTGTCGATTATCTGAATGCCGATCAACTGAAATGTCGGTTAACCGAAAGCATTCCAGTCGGACTGTGTCATGCTGATTTGAACATTTCTGATACTAGATTAACTTCTAAAGTATAATTTTTTTGTTTTTATATTTTTCAATATATTTATTTTGTTTGTACAAAATAAAGAAATACTTTTTAATGATACAATAGCCATGATTATTATTATAAAAATTTTTGTTAGGCTTAACATTGATGATGCATAGGCATTAACATCAACGTGAAGCAACATGCAATGGAGAAAAATTTAAACATGGGATATATTAATATACTATTATTGGGATATACTAACATATTATATTAATAATGTATTTTTTTGTAAATAATTGGTTATCCGAAAAATCGATTTTCCGACAACCCCAGTCCCTAATTGATTCAGATAATTGATGCTCTACTGTATGTATCTACAAAATAGATACAAAAATGAGAATAAATAAAAGTAACTATTTTGTGATTTATAATAATTTAACATATAATTTTCAAAAATCATAAAATTTAAATTATTGAAATTATTATAAAAATAAATTTCAGGAATTTTCTTTAAAAATAGCAAATAAAATAGTAATTTATGTCAATTTAAAAAATGATAAACAACATTTTAACTATGAAATCTTATTAATAGAGAATGAAATAAAATGAATATTTTTTTTTACTTGCTATTCATAGTTAATGAAATGTTACCATGTTTTAAATTAAGTTTATTTTTTCTTTGGCAAGCATTTAATTGTTGTTTACAGATTTTACAGCAAATTTATGACTTTTTGGAATAAACATTTATGTGACCGCAGAGTCGGCACCTCTTTAGCACCTTGTCAGGATGACACCACTATGTCTTGTGGACAAACACAGAAACTGGATTGGGCATTTAATTTTGTTACGTGAATGGGCACGTGTGCGGACTTTAGGATCTGGAATGGAGGCGGAAGGAGAGAGCCAGAGGAAATACACTTCACAACTTTTCATATAAATAAAAATACCCGTTTATTATTATTTGATGTAGACTAATTACAGATTTAATTTAGTAAGAGAGAGAGAGTTTACATTAATTCTGTGGGAAGATAAATACTTGTAGAATTCACAGAATAGTTGAAGATTTTTACATGTAGGAAATCTTGAAATCACACCTAGTTCTTTGGAGTGGCGATGATGTTTTTGGTGTGGCGGTGAATCTTCCGAATGGTGGTGATTTTAACAGTTAGGGTGGCAGCAAATAACTAGCGGCTACCCCCCACATACACACAGTTCACTGAATAATCGAGGACTTTGTTTGACCCCACCTTTTATTAGGGGGTCACCATTGGGTTTTCCCACAGTCTTATTAGGACTTTTTCCATTGCTGTCCAATGGTTGATTATTTTTTTCTCTTTCGTAGATTCCAGGTGACACATTAGGAAGCTGTGTCACCTTCGAAAGGAAGTGAATCTGGTGAAGTTATCATCGTATATCTTTAGATTTTTATCAAGTGAAAAACAAGAGTTTAAAATTTAATTTTTTTAATATAATTATTCGTTGTATCGCTTTATTTAAAAGTGAACAAGAAAGTTTTTAAAAACCCAATTGATAAGTGTTTATCAGATCTGGGCACACACATTTATATGATGATAACATTTTAATGAAATGAACAATTAACAAATGTTCTGAATTTTCACAAAGCTGGTTATAAATAATTAAAAATATATTTAGAATAAATATTTGTTTAAAATATATTTTTGTGCTGGTATGTTTAAAGGTTTTGTGGAGTTATTCAATGAACAAATGTTAAAAACATGATCAATTTAACAATGTTGGACAAGATTAAGAAAACAAAAGTATAATACTTAATTAATTTTTATCAAATCCAAATGATAATTTTCAATTAAACTAATAGAAATTTTTTTTATTAATTTACTTGAAATAATTAAAGCATTGGATATAAGAAAATTATTTTGTTTTATTAATATTAATTAAGTATTTTAATTTAAAATATATTGAATATTCTTGTCATAAGATGATGATGATAAAAAATATTTTTTAAAATTAATATTTTATAAAATTTATAGATGGCTGCAACTCAGTTTGAGGGACTTCTTACAACTCTCTGTGGATATGTAGTAATAGGCATTGCATTGGTGTTTCTTCATGCTTTGGCTGCATTAATTAAACTAAAAAAGACGAAAAGATTATTAGGATTATGCTATGTTGTTGTCAAAGTTTCCCTTCTATCTGTTGTCGAAATAGGAGTGTTTCCACTCGTGTGTGGTTGGTGGCTAGACATTTGTTCTTTGGTAAGTTTATTTTATGGATACAAATTATAGTTTTATAAGCTTATTATACTTATAGTAAAGTCTTTCTTATAAGTTTTTTCATACATATATGTTTTATATGATGGGCCTGACTAAGACTTGTATAACTAGTCTTTGTTGATGCTCAGTCTTCTGTTGTGAAAAAAATGTACTTTACTGATTGAGAACTAAAAAATATGATCACTTTGAACTTTGAAATTTTAGAATATGATTGTATACTAGATAAGTTTGTGCTGTATAGTTTTTGGATGAAATTTGATTTAATAAATAAATAGTTATTAATAAGAGAAATTAAATATATTTACTAATAGCTAAAATGTATGTTAGACTTTCATAACAGATGGTGCCACTAAGTAAAGTTTATGCAAAATTTTCCTTTGTAGCTCATACTTTAACTCAGTGGTTCTCAAACCGGGTGCCGCGGCACCTTAGGGTGCCGCAAGAACGCCACAAGGGTGCCGCAAAATTTTTAAATAATTAAATTAAAATTACTTAAAATAATTGAATTAAAGTATTAAATTAAATAAATAATTAAAAGATACCTTTATAATAATAACTTTTGTTTTGAATGCTTTTGTGTTGTTTGGAAATAAACTTACTTTAATAAAAAACTTTTATTTTTTNTAGAGAATGAAATAAAATGAATATTTTTTTTTACTTGCTATTCATAGTTAATGAAATGTTACCATGTTTTAAATTAAGTTTATTTTTTCTTTGGCAAGCATTTAATTGTTGTTTACAGATTTTACAGCAAATTTATGACTTTTTGGAATAAACATTTATGTGACCGCAGAGTCGGCACCTCTTTAGCACCTTGTCAGGATGACACCACTATGTCTTGTGGACAAACACAGAAACTGGATTGGGCATTTAATTTTGTTACGTGAATGGGCACGTGTGCGGACTTTAGGATCTGGAATGGAGGCGGAAGGAGAGAGCCAGAGGAAATACACTTCACAACTTTTCATATAAATAAAAATACCCGTTTATTATTATTTGATGTAGACTAATTACAGATTTAATTTAGTAAGAGAGAGAGAGTTTACATTAATTCTGTGGGAAGATAAATACTTGTAGAATTCACAGAATAGTTGAAGATTTTTACATGTAGGAAATCTTGAAATCACACCTAGTTCTTTGGAGTGGCGATGATGTTTTTGGTGTGGCGGTGAATCTTCCGAATGGTGGTGATTTTAACAGTTAGGGTGGCAGCAAATAACTAGCGGCTACCCCCCACATACACACAGTTCACTGAATAATCGAGGACTTTGTTTGACCCCACCTTTTATTAGGGGGTCACCATTGGGTTTTCCCACAGTCTTATTAGGACTTTTTCCATTGCTGTCCAATGGTTGATTATTTTTTTCTCTTTCGTAGATTCCAGGTGACACATTAGGAAGCTGTGTCACCTTCGAAAGGAAGTGAATCTGGTGAAGTTATCATCGTATATCTTTAGATTTTTATCAAGTGAAAAACAAGAGTTTAAAATTTAATTTTTTTAATATAATTATTCGTTGTATCGCTTTATTTAAAAGTGAACAAGAAAGTTTTTAAAAACCCAATTGATAAGTGTTTATCAGATCTGGGCACACACATTTATATGATGATAACATTTTAATGAAATGAACAATTAACAAATGTTCTGAATTTTCACAAAGCTGGTTATAAATAATTAAAAATATATTTAGAATAAATATTTGTTTAAAATATATTTTTGTGCTGGTATGTTTAAAGGTTTTGTGGAGTTATTCAATGAACAAATGTTAAAAACATGATCAATTTAACAATGTTGGACAAGATTAAGAAAACAAAAGTATAATACTTAATTAATTTTTATCAAATCCAAATGATAATTTTCAATTAAACTAATAGAAATTTTTTTTATTAATTTACTTGAAATAATTAAAGCATTGGATATAAGAAAATTATTTTGTTTTATTAATATTAATTAAGTATTTTAATTTAAAATATATTGAATATTCTTGTCATAAGATGATGATGATAAAAAATATTTTTTAAAATTAATATTTTATAAAATTTATAGATGGCTGCAACTCAGTTTGAGGGACTTCTTACAACTCTCTGTGGATATGTAGTAATAGGCATTGCATTGGTGTTTCTTCATGCTTTGGCTGCATTAATTAAACTAAAAAAGACGAAAAGATTATTAGGATTATGCTATGTTGTTGTCAAAGTTTCCCTTCTATCTGTTGTCGAAATAGGAGTGTTTCCACTCGTGTGTGGTTGGTGGCTAGACATTTGTTCTTTGGTAAGTTTATTTTATGGATACAAATTATAGTTTTATAAGCTTATTATACTTATAGTAAAGTCTTTCTTATAAGTTTTTTCATACATATATGTTTTATATGATGGGCCTGACTAAGACTTGTATAACTAGTCTTTGTTGATGCTCAGTCTTCTGTTGTGAAAAAAATGTACTTTACTGATTGAGAACTAAAAAATATGATCACTTTGAACTTTGAAATTTTAGAATATGATTGTATACTAGATAAGTTTGTGCTGTATAGTTTTTGGATGAAATTTGATTTAATAAATAAATAGTTATTAATAAGAGAAATTAAATATATTTACTAATAGCTAAAATGTATGTTAGACTTTCATAACAGATGGTGCCACTAAGTAAAGTTTATGCAAAATTTTCCTTTGTAGCTCATACTTTAACTCAGTGGTTCTCAAACCGGGTGCCGCGGCACCTTAGGGTGCCGCAAGAACGCCACAAGGGTGCCGCGAAATTTTTAAATAATTAAATTAAAATTACTTAAAATAATTGAATTAAAGTATTAAATTAAATAAATAATTAAAAGATACCTTTATAATAATAACTTTTGTTTTGAATGCTTTTGTGTTGTTTGGAAATAAACTTACTTTAATAAAAAGCTTATTATAATATACTAACATTATTTATTTTTTCAAAGTCTTCTCATCCTTCATATCTTTACTAACCGTAAAAAGCAAAATAATAAATAATAATAACAGGGGTGCCGTGACTTTTGTTTAATAATTTCAAGTGTGCCACCTGACAAAAAAGTTTGAGAAACACTGCTTTAACTATACATAAAGTACAAGGGATAACTATGGATAAAGTTGCTATAAATATAGGTACAGTAGAATTTAACTTATAGTCTTTCATATGTTGCTATTAGCAAAGTTAAAAGATTGAGAGGCCTGTTAATAGATTTACCTTATAATCAGCAGAATTACAGGTATCTCTACATTCTCTTTGTTTTATTTTAAGTAAAACAAAGAGAATGGTACATTTAAACCAGCTTTTTCAAGCGGAATAAAAGCTAGTAATAATGAAAATTTAAGTTTTCGTCATTAGTTTGTCTGTTTAACTTGTATTGTTCCTCGAAGTCGAAACAAGTCAGAGTATTTTTTTACTTGTTTTTAAAACTAGGAATATTCTTTATTTTCAGTATTTATCTTCAAAATAATGTTGTTATAGTCCAGACCTATTAAAAAACAGAATTAAATTATGTTTGGTAGTAAAATTAATTTTAAATCATATTTTTTACAATTAATTTTAATTTTTTTTTAAAATTTAAATATCATTTAAGAAATGACTTTTTCAGACAATGTTGGATGCTAGTTTACAAGACAGAGAAGAAAGTTTCAAAATTGCTCCTGGCACTTCGATGTTCATTCACTGGTTGGTAGGAATGGTATATGTGTTTTATTTTGCATCGTTTATTCTTTTATTAAGAGAAGTTCTTCGGCCTGGTGTTTTGTGGTTTCTTCGCAATTTAAATGATCCTGATTTCAATCCCATCCAGGAGGTGAGTTTATATTAAGTAAATTAAAATTTTAACTTTATAAATGCATTGATGTAACAACAAACTTATCAACTAATTACATAATATCAAAAACTCATCTTTACCATTTTGTTTAAACTGGAGTCATTAACAAACCAAAAACACTTAACTTGTCTGTCTTTGAAGTTGATATCATGCTGTTTGAATTTTTACTCAAATGCTTTTTCTTGTTTAGAACATATTTTAGTTTAAATCTAATAATGTGCCTGCTTACTTTAAAAAGATAGTTTGATTAACTTTCTAGATTCTTTCAGTTCTAAATTATTCCCTTAACTTTTTTTCACAATTCATTTCCATGCTAGCTATGATGTGTCAACGTATTTAACATTAATGACTCTTTACTCAAAATTTTCTTGTATATTTCTAACTTTTCAATTGCCATTATACAGATTTATACCACTACTGTCTGTATTGTTATCTTCATTGATTGTTCAGTTAATCAATGCTACTTTTTGCTGTATCATTACAGCATATGATGAGAAGCAAATGGATTTCATACTGAAAGTAATATTAATCTATACTAAAATTATAGAGGTAAAGTTTGTAAGTTTGGATGTAGGAGGTAATCTCCAAAACTACTCATTCAATTTCAAAAATTCTTTCACTAATATTTAGAATGGACCTTCAGGGTGGACATAGGCTGTATATTATTCTATTAAACATTCGTATAAATTAAAAGATATCATCTAGGATTAAGGCTTTTATGTCCAACAGATGGTGCTAATTCCGCGAGTACAACGACCTAAGTTTGCTTTTCTGTGAGGATGAACTAAAGCTCATCATCATCTATCTATCTATATAAATAAAAATATAATGTTTGTTTGTTTCTACCGATTCCTTTGAAATTTTGACACAACACTGCATTCGAATACGCATGTGTTTTTATATAATATAAATGTCGAAATTTCCCCCACTGTGGGGAGATGGACAAAATTAAGGCTTACCGTGAAGAACTCTGCTTCTATTTATACTATTTTAGATGCGGTTTTTTTGCGTTTTTGATTGCATTTTAATAAGGTACGTCAAGAAGGGATTTTTTGAAAAATTCCCCCACAGGGAAGTGTTATACGTTTATAATAAATACATTTTGAGCCACAACAATGCGTGGTGGGGTCTGCTAGTGGTTAATTAATAAAATTAAACGAGCAGTAAGTTACATAATATGCAAAGCAGCGCATGCATCGATTTAGGCTGACGTTATAAGTATGATGGAGGACAATGATAGTTGTTTAACTGCTTATACAGTGTGACCCATACACTGGGCAGGTTGAGGGTGGGAGTGTTGCATGTATCCAAGGTATTAGTAAGAAGGGAATCTCATATAAAAATGAGTTTGCAATTTTTGCATCTCTTGAGCATAATTGTTTGGGACCATAGTGGGTTGTAATCCTGCTCAATTACCTTTTTTGTAAGTTCTGTAGTATGCCTTCCCTTCACGACATCCTCTTGGTGTTCTGCTAGTTGGCTAGCAAGCATTCTTGTTATGGCCCCAATGTATCTTGTGTTTACTCTCATTGCACATTCTCCAGTAGTACAGCATAGACCCCCCCCGACTTCTGAAGAGTAGAAAACTTGTCCCGATCGTTGCAAATGAGCTTGCATAGATTTGGAAGTAGGGATAGTGGCAGGACGAGGTTATGCTGTTTAAAAATACAGCAAATACGTATAGAAAGGAGTCCAAGGTATGGCAACGATGTTTGGACCACAGAAATTTCCCTCCTGTTGCATAGCATAGTGCTTGGAAATAGGGATTTTTTTACCATATTGAGCACATATGTAAATTTAGCATGAGAAAAACCAACAGTGCTTACCGCCAAACTAATGTTGTCTAGTTCAATATTCACCAGTGCTTGTGAAGATGATTGTAAGAAAGCTCTTCTGATGAGAGTGGCATTAACATATCGTGAAGGCTGAAAAACCTCTGCTGGAATAATATGTGGGTCCATATTAGATTTGTAGTGAACTGAGAATTGTGGCCCTTCATGAGATTTACGTATGTGCAAATCTAAGAACGTTATTGCTGCATGTTATTCTTTCTCCCAAGTAAAGTTGATGGAAGGATATATACTTGAGAGATGCTGCATGAAGGTAAAAAAATGTTTCGTCTGTCTTCCCATACTATAAAGATATCATCAATGTAACGCAAATACAGCTGTGGGTAATGGATGGCAAGCAGGGAATTGAACGTTCTGTGCTCAATTTCTCTCATAATGAATTCTGCTAGAATAGCTGATAAAGGGGAACCCATAGGAATCCCCTGCTTTTGTAAATAGATATTCTGATTGAATTGGAAATAATTATGCTCAGTGACAAAGGACAATGCCTCATGTATATCAAGTACCTGTTGGGTGTTAAAGCTTTTTTTTAAGAGCAGAAAATTGGCAAGCATTACAGCTTTGAATGTAGGCACAGAAGGATTTAAGGATATTACATCTAGTTTATAGATGGTGTAGGTGTCTGGCTGTAGGGCACCAATGCTTGAAGTGATGGTGGATTTAGCAATAACAGATGAGGGAGTAACATATGGAGAATCTGGAATTAATGCGCCAAGGAATTTAGCAAGCACTTTTTCTGAAAAGTAAGTAGGATGAGATCTCTTGTTTACAAGCATACGTAATGGCCAGTTTGCCTTATGCATTTTTGGTTGAAAGAACAATCTGGGACATGCAACGTTGGAGGGGGACAAGGGACCCAGTTAGGGTCGAGGAAACACCTGGTAGGGCTATGATTCTCCTTGTCTTCTGTAAGATCATTGGTGTAGGATCTTCACTCATCACTGAGGAATGCGATTGCACAAGAAATTCATTGGCCCTGAGGAGAAAATCGTTTTCTCTGCACAGCACAAACTTTTTGTCTTTGTCGGAGACTAAAGGTCTTAAGTTGGTTCTGGTAAGGAAGTGCATTACTGTCATGTAGTTCACATGTCCATTGGGCTTATTGGATCCTTGTTTTGTTGCTGTAAGCTTTGTGATTATAGACAAAGTCTGACAATGACAACATTATGATTGTTGAAAGTACTTGCGATAAACGCACATATAATGCTGATCTCAGTGATTTCTACATCCTACTAAGCTTATTTTGATTGACACTAATAATTTAAGATTTTTAAAAAAACAAAAATTGCTTTGAAATTTGTAATTAAAACCATTAGTAAATTTCTTATCATGCCTTCCAATTTGTAGATTTTTGGTCCGTCAGAAAGAACACCTTATAACTCCTTGAACTCAGTTTAAGTCAGTTTATTTGACAACTATTTATAAATGTACAGTACAGCAATACTGTTTGCTTGCTTCTCACAACATAGTCTTAGGCCAGGTTTGTTTTTTCTTATTCCAACCTTCCCCGTTGCCTTATATATAATTTATAGATTTGTAGGCGGACCAATCCAGAGCTGGATGGGTAGCCTTCCAGCTCTGGCCTGCCTTGAGCTCCTTCGGGTCTTACTTGGCATACCTGTCTCAACTTGTTAATTCAAGTAAACATAAGAATGTTTTTAAACTTAAATGTGTTAGTTTTCACACATGTGCAAAGCTAGAGTTGGGTGGAATCTGAAAATGTTTATGATTTGCTCAGTATTTTGCTGTTACTGGAAGCTGAAGAGGTTTGCTGATAAATTAATAATAATGTTAATATAGTGAGATAAGCTAGAACAAATGTAGTTTGTTCTAGAATTGCATTTGTTGTAGAATCTATTCATTTGTTGGTTTTAACATACATTGAAACATACGTATTTTGAGGTAATCCATTTCAAGTGCAAAGTCAAGAAATAATAATATAAAATCAAAAATATAAGTGTAACAATAATAGAAAATTAATTTATTTAATATTTACACACTATATGTAAGTTTTCATATATTCTGTGATATTACAATGTGAACTTTTTAATATAGAGATTTTCTTTGTAACCTGTGCATTTTTTTTCTATCTTGTTTTTTTTAAAATTGTATAGATTATTGTTTAGCTATACCATATTCAGCACACCAATCTACTTTTTCAACTTTTTAATGTGGAAATTATTTCTTTATTAATGTCTAAGTTTATATTATCTTATGACTTGTTATCTGTTATAGCTTGTTTTCTGTTTTCTCACTCTGTTGTGCTGGCTTATGGCTAAAATTACATTGCAGAATACTTTTTAAGAATATATTTTTATAGCTAAAAATGCAAATAAACAGATATTTAAACTTTACAAACTATAATAAAGATAATGACTAATGTCCTAATTAAAGAGAGAACCTTAACCTGTACACATGTTCATGCCATGTCTGTTGCCATTATAGTAGTATCTATGTTTAGTGTAACATTTTGATTTTGTAGATTAAAAACTGTTCATTAGGGCATTTGTATGTTATAGCATCATTTGTTCTAGCATACCCACTGTACTTTAAAAAGTAAGTTGATGATGCTTAAAATCAATTGTTTATAAATTAGTTTCACAGGCTTTTACAATCAAATTTTAATGTCTTAGTGTATGAAGTATTTTATTTTTTTTAATAAGATTTTTAATGTGTTTGTTAATGTACTGATGTTTTCTTTTGACTGTTCAGTTTTAATGAATGAATTTAATATAATTGTTTGTATGTATAGATATTTTACAAAATTGATGTAATATTGATAGATTGTATTGACAATAGTATCTAAAATTATTTCAGATGATTCATTTACCAATTTTACGCCACATTCGTCGACTTCTAGCTTCATTGGTGACATTTGGTACGACTGTACTTATTATGGTGTGGATTCCTGTGAGAATTATTGAAAAAGTATTTCCTGGATTTCTACCTTATAATGTAATATTATCAAGGTAATTTAAATTTTTAATTTTATTTAAGTAAATACATTTTAAAAATATATACAGTTAAACCTCGATAAACCACCCCTCATAGCATGCTACTCTCTCTGGCTGCCAACAATGTAACCGAGCATATTATCCCCAATGGTAAAAGAATAGGAAATTTCTTCTAATATACCATCCACCAATTGCCAACTGTTATTAGGTAGACAAAAAGTCCTTTCACTGTTATTTTTGTCTTTGAGTATATGCTGTAAACAGTGCTTCCAGATTTCTGGAGTGAACAGTAAAATGGTCAAAAGTTTACAAATTATTTTATGTAAGCTTAGATACTGTACAGTACATATACATAGACACCATACATGATATACATTGTATGATGTGCATTGAGTGAAATCAACTTAAAAATTATTAAGAGCTAAATTGTAGGGATTGCAGAAATCCTGCCCTGGAGAAATTACTGGGGAGGTACTACTTCCAGTTTTTGTCATTACATTGTTAATTACAGTAACTTCTGAATTCATTATTCCAGATGATGTATAAAGTAGACCAAAATGTTAGAATATAAGTTATATCACTGTATTATCAATTGGTACATTTAAATTGTAAAACATTTTGCATTTTTAAAAATATTGTATTAGTTAGGGAAGAATATAATTTGAGAGAACTCCTAATAATCTAATATTGATAAAATTTGTTTTCAAAATATCAATACAGTAGAGCCTCGAAAACTCGGCCTAATGTGGACCAAAGGGTGGCTGAGTTTGTGAAAATGCCGGGTTATCGGGAATGGGGTTAAAAAAGGATAAGTATGCATGTTTCCTCAGAAAATAGTGTACTGTACTTGTATGTATTATTTGCTGGAGAATACAACAGAGAATAAAATGCCCAAATATCCTTAAACAAAGAAAAAGTATGTACTTTATGAAGGCATAGAGCCTTTACTACATGAAAATGAAAATTAATGAATACGCTGTGTACAGTAATTTACCTGATAAGACAGACCTCAGAAAAGCATAAAGCTGTCTACAATGAAAATTATCTAGCCGACTTTCAAAAACTGGCTACTTTTTTTTTTAAAGAAATGCGTAATGTCCTGTTGTCTTCCGCACCTCACTCTGCATTTTGCTGCTTCATCACGAAGACGACGAAGGAACAGTAAGTCCATTACCGACGCACCTTGTTGTTCAAAATACTGAAGGGTGGTTTCGACAGCCTTTAGTCCCCCACTATGTGATATTTTAGGAGCTTGTATGGTGGAGTCCTCAATGTCAACATCTTCATCATTTTCCAGCATTTTTTCATTGACTGTGACAGCAGCAATTTCTGCATCAGACATAATGTTTTGGTCAGTATCGTTCTGGAACCACTGTTCGACGTCATTTTCATCGTCTTCTGCACATCCAGGAACTCTTTTCAGGAGGTTGAATAAGTTTATATTTTCTGCATCATCATGTTCAACGAACTCATTTCCCTCGTGATCAAGGAGTTTTCGCCAGGAACGAACTAGTGTTAACAACTCTAACTCGTTCCAGGCATCTGCCACCCAGCCAACAACATCCAATAGGTTAATTTTTTTTAAGTTTTGGATAAGACCTTGATCATCATCATTTGCAGAAAGAAGGGAGGGTAACAGCTTGTGCCTATATCTTCTCTTGAGACTAACCAAAACTCCTTGGTCCATTGGCTGGCATAACGCTTTGACATTGGGTGGTAAAAACATTGCTCGTATGTCCCCATGTTTTAACTCTTCAATGTCTGGGTGCAAAGACGCATTGTCCAAAATCAGAATAGTATTCCTTGGCAGGTTTTTAGATTTTAAAAACTGCTCAACCGATGGAACAAATACTTCATGAAACCATTCTTTGAAAATTGCACAGCTCATCCAGGCATGTGACTGGTTTCGGTACCAAACTGAAAGTTTACCTATTTCAATGTGCTTAAACGCACATGGTTTCTTTGATTTTTCTATGAGACCAAGCTTTAATTTGTGCTCACCTGTTGCATTACTGCATGCTAGGATTGTTACCCTTTCCTTGCTTCTTTTAAAACCTGGGGCTGATTGTTCTTCCTTGAAAGCAAGACTTTTCACTGGTAGCAGTTTATAATTAACCCTGTTTCATCACAATTGTACAATTGCTCTCCGGTCAAATCTTCAGCTTCGATAAATTTCTGAAAGTTTTTTTTAAACTGAGACATACTCTCTGTGTTTCCAGATAGTTTTTCCCCACAAATACTAAGCTACCGGACTCCATAGCATTTCTTCCAGCACTCAAGCCAGCCATTGCTTGCGACAAATTTAGGATCGTTGTCTTTTTTAAATTCTTTGTAAAATTTCAAGGCTTTCTCTTGCAAGATTGGCCCACTAATTGGCATGCCCTTCTCTCTTGTTTCGCGAAACCAAATGTAAAGTGCTTCACTTACCTCATTAAAGTTACTTTCCTTCATACTTTTCCTTTCTTTCAATGTTTCTGTACACATTCTGTTAACACACCACAACTCGATTTCCGTTTGCTTCTTCTTCCAGTCTCCAATCGTACTTTTGCCAACTCCCAAGTCCTTAGCCACTGCACTGACACTTTCTCCCTTATCCAGTCTTTTTAATGCCCGCAACTTTTGCTCCATAGACATGTTCACTTGTTTTCTTTTAACGGAAGATGCCATCGCAGAGTACTGTTGTCATGATGGAATCGTTTAGATGTACAGTTCCCGCGCTTTTCCTCCTTTTCAAACAAGCAATGGTTGTCGCCATAGAAATACGGATCAAGAAACGACCGTTAGTTTTGAAAACAGAATAGATGATTGGCCGTCGATCATTGGACGATCGCACGGACCTCCAATAGGACTACGAAGCGCTCATTGGTCAATTAGTGCTATCTTCATTCCATATAAAAAGATTTAGTTTAAATGGGAGAGTTAAGTTCGCCTAAGTTCATTTTTGCCCTGCCAAGGTGTGGCCGAGTTATCCGGAGTGCTGGGTTATCGAGAGCTGAGTCTTTGAGGCTCTACTGTACTATCAAATATTACGTTACATGTTTTTGACGCTATATTATAATCTGTTTTAAATGTTCACTTTCAGGTACCTAACTGTTTAAATTTTTTCATGAAGGAATGTTATTGCTTTGTTTTAGGATAGTTTTAGCTTTTTAATGTACACAAGTCACTGTTTAAACTAAATTTGAAAATTTTGACAGATTGAACAATAATTTAAACTATACATTTTCATTCTACTCAATAGTGTATTTTAATTGTAGAAAAGGGCTGGCAGAATTACAATTTAATAAAAAGTAAAATACATCTGGATACGAGTCCAATTTTGCTTGCCATGTCCAATCACCAGGAACAACTACTTCCATTGCGGAGACAACCTTTCTATAGAGGCTATGTGTCTGCACAAATATGCAAAACAGTTTACTGAATAAAATTATGATTATATTATTTTTATAATTATGAAACGCACATTCCTCTTTATAATACTATGCTCTTTTGAAACATGTTGTGTAGTTTTTTATCAGTTCATTACAGATGAACCATCTTTGTATAGTTATTTTTTATTAACTATATTATTATTATCTATATATATCTATATATATATATAAAAATGAACATGTATGTCCCTATATCTCACTTTTTTGCCAAAACTACACATCGCACGTGAATGGTGTTTGTATGTGGTAGTAGCCCCAAGTCTCCATTTGTGCATAGGGGTGGTTGCGTCTCGATAGCTATAAGGGTGCGGGAGATATGAGGCTGAAAGTGGTTGAAAGTGGCTTTCTATTTCGAATGTTTTGTTCGATTTTTTCGAATTTGTTCGAATTAAATTCGAACATAAAATTCGAATATTGGTTCGATTATAGAACGATTGTAAACGTTCCAGAAACGTTGAAAATAGTTCGTTTGACTGGACGTGAACAGGAGACGTTCAGAAATAGAATTGGGACCAGGAAGTGTTAATATAAAGCGGCATGCAAGATTTACAGGCGGTTTTTTGCGCTTTTGCGGGAAATCGAACATATTTTTATGCTCATGTAAAAATTCTCTGGAAACGTCTGGAAACGGGAGACCTAATTCTTGCATTTTGTGAAAACGGGTAAGATTGGCTATAATGTAATTATCTTAATCTTCACTATCGTTACTTTTTGCCCACAAATAAAAACCCAGCGAAGCGGGTTCTTGCAGCTAGTTAACTATATTATTATTCTTAAACTTAATTATATTACTTAATATATTGACATTAAAAACTTTATGTAGTTATGTAGTATATCGTTTAACAAATGAAAAACTGTATATTAGAAATTAAACAGCAAAAGTTTATAATGCTATCAAATCCAAATTCTTGTAGGAATAAGGAACTTTATGTAGAAATGATATTAAAAGTGAAATGCTTATTAACTTGTCAAAAATATTCACATTTCCAAGAAGACACAAATGTATCATCAGTATTCGTGATTTCATTGAATACAAAATAAAAGTTCAGTTAAGTTTCTGAATTCAATACATGAGGGACAATAAACTCCAGCTTTTATGTGTTGGATCTGAAAGTCCATGCTATTACCATATAAAATGTCATTAATCTGTATCATAAACTTATTTAACAAAGTGTTTTGTGAATAGATTTGAAGTTCATTGTACCTCATAACGACAAAGTATTGTTTTCATTTTAGCAACTACACTTTTGTGAATTTAGCTCTTGGATTGTGAGGTCTGTTTCTGTTTTCCATTTTATTCCAGTAATTTTGAGACTCCTGTGATCTTGCAAGAGCATTATTGTATTTTAAGAAATTGTCATTATATATTAACCCTCCTGCCACAAGGTGGACTATCAGGACACATGTCACAAGGTGGTGTTGTATACGACACTTAGCCAAAAAATCAGTTTTTTCTCTGATAAATCAGGTTTGTTTGGTTTAAATAAATAAATACACGTTAAAGTAAATATGTATATTTACAAAACTTACAGAAAGAAACACGCATCTTCAGATCATCATATAGAAATTTTGAAGAATTTTTATTATGACCCTTTGGATTTACCATAAGAATTCTTGACGAATTTTTTCATCTGTAGTAAACCGTTGATATTCTGCTATAGTAATCTGCCAACCAATGGTAGATAATCAAGAAATAGCTCGTTAGGCTTTTTCTACATGAAGAAAAAAAGATAATTTACATCACAAGGGAGTGTCGTATCCGACACTAAAGCAGAGTGCGCTCTAATAGTATCTAAATTATGAGAAAAATTGAAGGTCGACGACTTATTTTTCCATGCCGCTATCTTGAGAACTACTACTTGATAGGGTAATTTATGGTCACAGAACCCCAACACTAGTGCTGTTTCCTGTGCAAACAAAAAGACACAAGAGGTGTCGGATCCGACACCACCTTGTGGTAGGAGGGTTAATAATAATAAAGTGAATATAAATAAAATTTGTATTTTTTGTTTCTAATTTTTATCATCAAAATCACAATTACATAGTGTTTTATCTGATTTTTAGTGAAACTCCAGTTAGCGAATTATCTCTAGAACTTGTATTATTACAAGTCGTATTACCAGCATTATTAGAACAAGGTCATACAAGACTCTGGCTGAAAACTTTTGTGCGTGCCTGGTGTGTTGGTGTTTCTTACATATTGGATCTTCGTTCATATCTGCTTGGATCTGATCCAGTTGATAATCAGGTATAATGTGTTAATATATTGATTATTAATGTTAATATATTTTAAAATTATCTGAGTGGTGTGTGTATTGTTCTGTTATGTGAATGGCTTATACATTACAATTGCATTAAGTTTGAAATTTTATTAATATATTAAGGAAACTTTAATTAATACACATTTTTTATTCAAATTAAACTACATATGAATATCTTACAAATATTTAATAATCATGAAATTAAGAGTTCTAATAATTTTTATTTAACAGTATTAAAAATTAAATCTCAGTGTTATTCTTCCATTGTTTAAAAAGTGAAATATTTCGAGAAAACTTGTTCAAATTATTTTTAGATGGTCATTGAAAAACAATTTGTTTAATTTGTCACTTTTCCTAGTAATTTAATTAAAAAAACTAAATACCTAAATTTTGACCTATTGAAACAAACAAACAAACAAACAAACAAACAAACAAACAAACAAACAAACAAACAAACAAACACACACACACACACACACACACACACACACACAGAGAGAGAGAGAGAGAAAATTATGATTGACAATGTGAATTATACAAAGTTACATTCTGCTAGAGTTTTGTATTCAATGACTGACATTTTAACTAATTGCAACTATTCACAAGTGTAAGGTTGCTGACTTTTAGGGGCAATAAGTTAATTGCGCGTCAGGAAAACCTAGGGGTGAATCATATGTGGGTGGCGGCAGCAGGAGACAAAGATGACATGTGTTACACGAAACTGTTTATTTTAACAACTAGTTCAACTTACATAATAGAAGAACAATAAACTAGGAATGTCGGATGTTGGATGAGGTGTGATACTTGTGGTTGCCCTGGGGCTTTCTAGATGCAGAGTCTGAGGTGGAACGCTGGAACACGGGCGACAGATTAATGTGTTAGCACACACTTCTCAGCTGATAGAGAGTCCTGTTGGGTGGGCGAACGAACGAATGTCTTGAGATCTGTATTGCAACACTTGTTCGGAGGAGAATTGGCCATTTGTCCTTGAGATTTGGGGGTTTTATAGGATTTTCCCCGAATATCACCCTTTTGATTGGTCCCATTCACCTTCTCCCTTACCGTGATCAGTCATTCTTTTGTCTCTAGGCGAAACCTGAGACCAACATGGGTCAGGAAAATGGTCGGAGAGGTGATAACGGAGCTTTTAAAGTTCGCGCTCATATTTTACTCTGTTATGGCCCTTTTTTCTGACATCTTTGAACCTAAACGGTTCACCAGATGTTCTTGTGGCCATTTACCCCTAATGCATTTGGGCTTAACAGATGTCCCTTTGGTCATTAAACCCCCCTTTCCTTGATTGTTTTGACCCGACACTTGTTTGCAAGCATTTCAACAAAGCTCTCTCTTTCTCTGTCGACATTCCCCCCTGCCGTTTATCATTGCATTGTGTTTATTTTACAATAATTAAGAAAGTTTTCTTTCCATCTGGGTTCTGTCACCAGCACACCCTCTTGACCCGATTTGATTTTCGAAACTCTCCGACTTAGGAGTTTCATAATTAGTCGAAATTTTGATGCGCTTTTATGACCCTCACACAAGAAAGTACAACTAAATCATTGAAATATTAATAACTATGGAAAGAATTACATTCATTACCTTTCTGAATTGAAGGAGTTGTGGAAGACATAATGGATTACATATCTAGTGATAATTAGCCTGGGCAAGCAGTAAGTGAACTCAGGCATCTGGGGTAACTTTTGTGCTTTCATGTCTGATTTTTAAAAAATTTGCATGTTACATTCTGATGATTTTAGTGTCAAAATGCTCAGTAGAACAATGGCATGTGGATAAATTATTTCATGCAAAATATAAATAAGTTTGTGGAAAGATATATTCAAAAAACAAAAATGTCGACTTTCGCCTCTGACACTTAATAAAACAAAAGTATTTTGACATTTTTGGGTGCTGTTTTTTGGAATATAAAGCCATACAGATGCTTTATATTTTTGCAAATTTTGATGAATTTTGGTTGAACTATGGAAAAGTTATTAGAGTTGAAAGAAAAAGGAAGCAGATTTATGTCCCTCATCTCCACTAGATGGCCCCACATTATCTAGCTCTTTCATTGCCTCTGCTGTAACTGTTTTCCTGGGCCAGTACTGATTTAAACAAATTGTCATTTCCTTTCTTCAACATGTCAGCAGTTACACTCAATTCCTCATCCCATCAGAAATTTTCTACTTTTATGTAACTGTTTCAAATATATGTTTTTTAGCCATATCAAGTGACTCGCCAACATTATGTTTGAGAGACAGTTCCCTCAGTTCAGACTGGACAAAATCTCAAATGCGGATAGTTTTAACAAGTGACTCCAATTTATTCAAGAGTTTACCTGCTTAACTGCAAACTGATTTTATTTTATAATTTTTTTATTTTTACTTCAGTTTAGTTTATTTGTTTAGTTTAGTTTAGTTTAATTTGTTTTTTATACTTTTTTAATCATTTTTTTTCAACAATAAATCACTTATAATCTTTGATTTGTGACATATTACTGCTCAAACTGCTCGCCTAGGCTAACTACATAGATAAAAAATTGTTTCGCATTTCTTGATGTTACTTACTTTACTAGTAATTAAAGTACAGTGACCCTTCACTTATACACCTCTCATTTAAGTGACTATCTCAGATGTTTTTCACTTGTCCTGGCTGAAACCTATGAGTGATGATGTCCAAAGTTTCTCATTTGAACGACTCTCAGTTTTGCACCCCTACAAATGTTTCAGATTAATGTATTGTTCTCTCACTTTACCATTATGATTGTCATTCACAAGAACAGATTGGGTGACTTTGCCATAGATCAAACAGGTGCCCAGGAAGATAAGAAAGCAGAGAAGATTATCATATTGGACATGATGTGTGTTTTTGAAAGAAAATGGCTGCTGGCTATGTGTTTAGATAAAATAAGTGGTAATGTCAATAACTGTTTAACAATCGTCATGTATGTCCAAACTATTGTTGCATTTTCCTAAAGCTGTTGCCAGGTATGTATTGACTAATAATAACTTTGGTGTGAATTTTGTGTCAGGCCATGATTATTTACATGCATATTTTCAAATTTTGACAAATTAACCTTCCCTGCCATGTAATCTAACTATGTCAAAGTAACCTTTGGATGACCAACAAAATTTCCAAAATTCATGTATATCCAGTTTCTGCCCTATGGAGATTTTAACATAAAGAAGAATACAGTAAAGTACTTCAGCCCCTCAGGCCTGCTTTTGCAGCACAACTTTGATATGCACATTAATTTCTGGGTGACATAGGTAGCAATATTACCAGATTTAACTTTGTATTTTGAATTTAAAAGAAGTAATGTTTTAACACTCTCTGGTTTGATTTTTTTGTCATGCTCTGCTTGTGTGTGCTGAGTTTTTACTGAATTTATACAATCACACTGTTTGAAAATAAATAATTTCATGGTTTTCATTTTTAAACTGTCTTAAAGATTGTTTTTTTTTCTGTTTAATCTGATATATATGTAAAAATTCATTGATATGCTTTAGATTTTAGATAGTTCAAATTTAATGTAAACAAATGAAAATAAGAAATAGTTGAGGTTTTTTTAAATAATTGCATCGTTTCAAAAGTTTGTGATTGAATTTGATTGAATGATGCTATTTTTATGCTGTTGGATGTTCTCTAGCATGTCATAAAAATTTATGATGATATGTCCAATGGAGATTTAGTTTTTGATTTTTTCAGAATATCATTCCATTTCATCAGAATAGTTAGGCTTAGCACTCTATAGAAAATATACTGAATTGCATACATAATTTATTATGTAATTTTTGTATAATCAGATAATAAAGTATTTACTTTTTGTCAAATGCAAGTATTAATACTGTACATGAAAACTATCATACATTTTCTTAATTTTAATTTAACGTTTTTAATTCTTTGTTTGTCTGAATATCAATCATGTTCCCACTTTTCTTACATTTATTATTACATTAACATAAATTGTTTTAGCCTGCAGTATATTTAATATAACTTTTAATTAGTTAATTTAATCAAATGACAATTATTATTGGATATCTTATTA